AAGTATTCCATAAATACTTGAATTAATGTTGAAAAATAAGTTTAGGGTATAGCGAGATGTAATGTTCCTTTAGTAGAGCTATTATATATATCCCTAATAGGTTTATAATACCGTGAGTTTAATTATACTTGTTGGTTGCACAATTTATTTGTCGTATGAGTTTTGTGTGAGATAGATCTTGAGAAAAATCTAACGTATGACATTCGTTGTCCCTTGTGGTTAGAATCAAGTCCCATCATGTGCGAGTGAGAGATGTTAAAAAATATGGATCATGGGGTGACCCGAACCACAAGACATCAAAATGGTTGGAGGGAGTGATTTGAATTTGGAATTAAAATCCACAACTCCCCATAATCTCCCATAAAACCTCCTACTTTTTTGTCTAACAATGGAGAGAAAAAAAGATGATATAAAAATGGTAAAAATTCGTATGGAAAATATCCTCAAAATTGCAAGGCATCTAAAACCACTATTTTGGAATGAAAACTCACAAAAATTGGCACTTAGGCAGTGGCTAATAATTTCCTTCCATTATGATCGGGATTTAGACCATTGGAGTGCAAGAAAATTGCAGAATTGGAGTTTTGGATAGTAAGGTAATTCAACCATTCAAAAGATCTCGAAATTCATTATTTCAGGTAAGCATCTTGACCCGAAATTCATGTTGCTTCGAATTACTTCAATAATTAGTCACAATTCACAAATTAAAATCTTGAAATATTTATTCAAAACTTAAAAGTAGTTGGATAGTAAGTCGAGACATGTATTCTGGGCCATATTCACTGAGCAAATTTATGTGCCGATCACTTTCTATTTAGATAATGCTTTGATCAATTCAATTATGACGATCAATTTAGTTAATTTTGATGAAAATAAATAGAGAACGACCACATTATATAGGAAAAATCGAATGCCGTTCAAATGAAATAGTGAGTCATCATATCAAATTATTTTATTTTGATTTCACTAGTAATTAATATTTTGGATATCATATAGAACAAGGAACAGATTGGCACATGCCTTAAACTAGACATATTGCTCAATTCTTTTAGCATATTATGTTTGACCTTTTTGTACCCGGCCATGTATTTAATCAATTTAGCATAGTTACTAATCATATTAATTATTATTATTACTGCCAAATTACTTAATTATTGAAGAAACACTTATTTTTAGATGGAAGTTGTACGTATTCCATGATAAACGTCATTTATTTTATAAAAGTTGTACTTATTTCACGTTTGCAATTAACAATTACGTATAATGATCATCATTTGTTAACTGACAAGTCATCGATTTTATAAGTTGAATTGGACGAAGTTACCTCATTTGAAATTAAATTAAAGTACACATACCCAATTGAAGTCAAATAAAAAAGTAGCCACCAGATTGAAAGTTATCACTTAAGTAAAAATATACTTACCGAAACTAGAATTTATCTTTACCTGATTTAACACAACGATATAAGTTAGGCACATAAGAAAGAACTTCGGGTCCGTTTGATTGTAAGGATGAAATTTGGGTGGAAAGAAAATGAATTTTAGGGAATTAAATTGTCTGTGAATTGTCAATTAATTGTGTTTAATTTGTATAATTTTCAACCTGAAAAATGTTGAAATTTTGGATCTTTTGGTGTTCGTTTGACTCTGTTTTCATGGAAATTGTCTATTAAATGGAACTTTTTTTTTTTTACAATTGAGGATAGAATTTGTTTCCATTGCCAAAAAAAAAAAATGCCTAGAAAACCAATTACCACCAAAA